TACAATTTCTATATTCTGTATATTTTTATGGAAATATTATTAAAACGAAACATTTATAATTGAATTAATAATTGTGAAAGCGATATTCAACTTTCTTTAAAAACACCGCGGAGCTTACTGAAGATTGTAAAGTAAATAAACGCAAAACAACCTCTAAAAAATACAAGCTTAAGAAATACTTGGAACTGAATTAAAAACAAACAGCTGTAAAGAATTAGAAATATCACTCCCTTTGTTGCAAAGCTATAATAAACACTAAAATATAATTCGACGGATGCAGTTAAAACCGTAACTTGCTTTGACTTTTACCCGTTATATAGATCGTTACCTCCTGTCCAAATATCTCTTGTTATTGGAAATCTTTCGTAGTTTATTATCGTTAAATATCTCCTTGGTTAATTAATTTTCCGAGAATTTATTAATAATAATCTAAACAAAAACAAAACATCTCTTGATATTCTAATAATCCAAACACAAACTTAAGTTTAGTGTTAGTGGTGTACGTACGATTACGACTATCAGTTCACCATGCCTGACATCTAATCTTTAATTTACAAGTTTAATTAACTCCTACCACAATTATCAGTTATCAGCAACTGACACAACGGAAATTATGTATACACGCTTAAATGAACCTTTGGATAGTGTCACTCGTTTATTTATGGGTGCATTTTGCAAATTTCCCTACTGCTAATAAAGCTTTTGTTTTGATTTTAAGTAGTTGACTAAATAAAATATTAACAACCCCAAAAGGTAAAAATTACATCATTTTTAACCTCCATTTAGATTTGATATATGTAAGAAATTCTTCATTTCTGCTCCGCAGTTAAACTATTGCAGAAAAAAAAACAACGCAATACAACCTTTTACTTATGACATAGGCCATAAGCAAACATTTAAACTATGTATAGTTTTGTATGATCAGTAGTATTATTATTTCTATGTTGTTTCAACCGTCGTATAAGTTGTACAGCTTCAGTTATCAGTCCAGATCAGTGCTGCATTAGGTCAAACACGCGATCATTAAAAGTATACTAAAAACTTGGAAATAATTCATTAAATATCGCTGTGGAAATTCATGAGTGGTAGAAATTATTCAAATTTAAACAGTATACGACTGTAGTTAACACGAGTATTTATGGATTAAAACTTTGGTTAATTTTCGTTGGTTATGAGAAACAAAAACATGATAATACTGATAACACTGGCATACTTTCACTTCCTTCTGGTTTGCTCTTTTTATTTTTAATGTGTTTCTTTTTCTTTCTTAATATTTTGTTTTAGAGAAATAATTAATTTAATATTTACTTGGTGTTTTATAGCTTGCCGAATGCGAAAATACTGGCCTAATATTTCTGTTAATAAGTAAGACAGATAAATTGCTTATTACATTTCATATCAATATACTGTTTCAAAATCAGAACTTGTTCCGAAAATTTCGTTCAGATTTTAGATATACTTTAAGACTGTTGTAATAAAAAGACTAATCAAAATAAGAAGAAAACATGCTAAATAGTTTATGCTCACATTATGCAATGGTATATCCTCAACCTGTAATTTAGTAACTAAACTAAACTGACCAAATATATTATGTAACTTTATAATTTTCTCAAAAATACTAAATATTTCACGGATGATTCTTCCAGATTCCTTATATTTCAGACAAAGCTGTAGCAATACAACTAGTGTTGCATAATAATTAATGTGTCTCTTTCACCACAAACATGACGACGTCATTAAAAATTACTGAAAGTATCTACACTGAAAAATAAGCTCTAAAATTCATGCTGTGCGAACTCTTTCAGAGGCGAGAATATCTAATTGTTAGTAATGTAGAAAACGTGTTAGTAAGTTTAGAGAGCTTTTTCTTATACACAATTCTAACAAATAAAAAATTAGAAGTATCTTCTAATATTAATATTAAATTTGTTGGTGACTTAAATTGCAATATTATCTGTATACACTTTTTGCTTCTTCAGCTGTAGCCGAGAAATATTTTAATGGCGTCGTTTGGATGAATGTATAATTTGATGCTTTTTCACGCTTCGTAGATTATTAATTACAGCAGAGTCGCTTTTAGATTTTATCTGTAGTGCTCTGTCCGTAGGAAATCTACTCGATAGATAACTGCCGGACCGATTATTATTTTGAAAATTTAAGTAAGTATTTGTCAAGTTTATCAAGAAGATGATATGGCGCTGAGTAAAATTTATTAACTCCAAAAATAACTTGAGACGATCAGATTCTACAGTTTTTATTACAAAACGAACATCGTAAACATTTTACGACTGAATTAAACATTCCAGAACTACCTAAACAAGATTTATTTATTCCTGTCCGGAAATTTATTTATTATTATTGATAGAGGTTTACTGGGAAATACGTCACTGAATCTACTTAGGTATTAATATCTATGTTACCAAAATGCTTACACGTAATGCAAAAAAAATAAATTTTGAAATTTACAAAAAGTAAATGATCGCTTGGAAAAATTTTGTAAAATTTATTTCAATGCAAAATGGCACAAACGTGATGAAAAAAATTAAGTTCACCATGAATTATTCTAACAAAGCTATCCCCTCGCTACTAAATTATGTATCAGTTGTTTTAAAAATTGATCAGTTCATGCGACACATAAATGTCTTTGTTATCTATTTCCAAATTAATATTTTCTTTCATAAAAATGATTGAAAATAAAGAAAAGAATATTTTGAAAATATTAAAAAGTACACATTAATGAACAATTCATTTAGATTTTTGTTTAAAATCTCTTATAAGTATTTTATTTTAGGTAATAGTCACTTTGTAAAACAGCTTCATATAAAAATGATCGTGCACAAAGCCTTTTTAAAGCAAGCTTAGCCACTTTTTCGTAAATTATTTCCGCGTTATTAATTCCGACTACTGAGAATGTGTGTCGTAAATTACACTATGCGCTATATTAAGAAGTAAACCAGAAGGAAACTTGCCCTAGTTATTTATACAACAAATAAATTCACATGATTTTCATAATCCAAACGTAAATGTGTATTCTGGAAATACAACGGAAAAAAAATGTCGATAAAAGTTTCACTAAATTAAGCTGAATTTTAATCTGGCTGTTTTTATGGTCGCTTCTCTCTAATTATGTGAACTCAGTGTTACGCCTAAAGATTTTTAAGTTTTCTGCACAAATGTATTTGCGTTAAATTAATTTACTACCACACAGCCTTAATTATAAACAATGTGTTCGCTCAGTGTAACGTTGACAAGAAAATAAATTTTGCCATGCTCTCTTTGTTGGCACATGACAAATTTGAAACAAACCCTATTTATTTCTCCGCAAGTTTAGTTTTGAGCGAATTTAGCTCAGTGCCCCGTCAAGAGACGCATCCATTTACACTAGGATAGAGGTAAACAACTACTGTTTGGATCCAGAATTTTGACTAATTAATGTAACCAGCGACAAACGTTATTATTATGCGCAGGACATTAACTAACAGAAATCCTTTCGGTGTACCATTTAATTTTAAATTCAAACTAGAAAATAGAAACAAACGCTTTAATATTTACTAACATAAGTTCAAGTTTTGATAATTTTAGGCATTTATTTAAGATTTTTAAGTAGTGTGATGTTTCACTTAATTTTTCGGCAATGAACAAAACTGGTGGATGCGCCGGGTAAAATATTTGCCACAAGATTAATTTCTATAACTTCAATTTTTTTTTTATTTTTGTAACGAAAATTAAAAGTCTTAAAAGAGTCGATGTTAACTGATTGTACGTACTTAAATGAGCATTTTTCAACAAATAGCATTTTTATAACTTGGCAGAACGTTACCTGAAGCGAATCTATTTTCACAAAGCTAATTAATTTCGAAGAAAAACACGGACGAATTTGCTATTAATTTTTTATGTGTAATCTGTTTTTTTATTTCTTTCTTCATATAACTTTCACAAACAAGATCAATGGTTTCAAAGTTGGAATTTCAGCAAAATACCGTCTTTTACAAATCACCAGCTGCGCCATACGTAAAAGTCCACGTTAGGCTAGGTTCAATTGAAGTTTTTGTTGCAGAGCAACAAAGCGATTTCGTTTATTTGCATACGTCCCCTTTCATTTTAACTTGGCAAAAAATTAAATCCTCCTTGAAAAAAAAAGAGATCCCTTAATACTTATAACTTAATTTTGATTCGTTAAGTTGACGCGAAGATGTCGATGAAAATAATGTGTCGAAATAGCCCAAAAATGCAAATTCTGTGGAAAGAACTAATAAAAACTCTTTCAGCTCATTGGGATTCATTAAGAAGTCCGCATTTGTGCAAACTTCAATTTACTTTAATCAACCTCAGTTGTTGGTTTTTTATTGATTTAACATTTACCAACTGACTATTAAATCAGTTAGGACTATATTTTCAAGGATTGTAAATATTTGCTTCAAGTTATTATTTTTGAGGCAGAATTCTGTTATCGTCTTCCGCATTCTCACGTTTCCGCCTGGTAGCGTTCAGGACACTTTCGCATATGTGTTTAACACGATCTTGATTTCTGGAAGATTTACTTCTGACATGTACAGTTGCGTTTTTTCCGGATTTATTTGTCACATATGGCAATGACGAATAAGCTCGTCGAGTGGAAAATCTTTTCCTCATAAATGAAGTTATTTGTCAAAAGTGAAACACAATCTTCTTAGTTAGTTCATTCTCAAGCTTCACATTTTACCTCTCTATAATGAAAAAGTAAATTTAGAGGAAAAATGACGCAAAATGTGCCAAATTAGAACACCTAGCTGAGTGCTAAACGATGACAAATTAAACAGCATTTTTCTTCCTTACACGAATTTTCAACGAGAGAAATAATTAAATGTCGCTCCCTCTGTAGGTACAAGGGCTGCAAGTTCCGCAACGTGTGGAGCAGGGTTTCGAACCAAATGCGCAGTAGAAAGCGCTCTGAAACCCAAATATAACCGTTATTCTACAGATTTCCTGCCAGTTGTTGCGTTCATAAGTTACAGGAAACATTGTTTCGTTTTTATACATTTAAGCTTTTGGTTACTTTTCTAAAACAAGTGAATCGTGAACACAGTGCCCATTTTACCAACAGCTGTTTTGGACCGAGAAATAAGGGAGTGTTAAATACAATTTACCACCACCCGCTGTCCAACCCATAATCAAATTTTTTTTAAAATGCGAGAGCTAATTGGATTTAGTCTTGATGCTGTTAAAATGATTTCCGAGCTTAAATTAACAAAAGGATTAACAAAGCCACATAAACAAAGGATCAATATTGCGCTTAGTGCGTGTTCGTGCCGGCGAGGGCGCTACGAGCCGATCTGAAAATGTTTCAATGAAAAGCTGAAAACATCGTCATTGGAAACACTTGCTCTCGAGCTTTCGAACGAACACATGTTAACAAACACGTCTCCTAAATCTGACAGTTAAAAGATCGCTGTGCTTCTTTTAAAAAAACAAAGTTAAAAGTTTAATTCAAGATGTAATAGAAATTATAAACTTTTTTTCTAAAACATATCAACAAGTAAACGACGTTTCGAAAAATCGCCAAAAATTAACTGACAAGGAGAGTATACAGTAGTATTTTTGATATTGTTATTTTGGGACCATTTTATACTAGAGTTAGTCTTTAGATATTAAGTGTTAGAAATTGTTGTTTCCTATTAAATTTAGTTGTTAGTGATAAATGTGCTCAATTAGAATTAAATGTTGCATATCTAAAGTATTTTAATGAATGTTTACACACATTTATGGGGCCATTGCACTTAGAACCAATTAATCTGAAACTACTCTAGTGCCAAATATTTACCTAACGAAAAACAAACCTATTCAAACACACTACACATGATTTAAAATTGTCAACTTTTATACATCTATATTTTGTAATAAAAGTTTATCCCCAGTGCCATTCTTAAAATAATATAAAAGTGAACCAATAAATTCTTTCAAACTCCTAATACAACTCTTCTAAAACTTTCCGTGAAGTTTCCTTTTCACGATATACTTTAAAAAACTCTTAACTTAACTGTTAAATTAAAATTAAATGTTCTTACATGTAAGTAAATGTACTTTAATAAATATTTAATGTAACTCAACTAAATGTCTAAACACTCATTAATAACTGTAATAGTGCAAAACTATTTCGTACAATGGCTAATGCCGTGCCTGACATAAAACCTGTGATTTCGACCGTAAGTACGATTCACGCTGCACCGGAAGGAGAAATGGATGCACTTTTGCTCGGCAGAACGCGGGTAAGTGTAACTTCACTCATAAAAATATTTATATGTCGACAATCATAAAACGTCCGCTTTGTGGGCCCGTAACTGCACTATTATGCTTTAACCTGATCCCAACTAAGTCTAACTGAAGATCATCAAAAAACGTGACTAAAATAAATCGAATACGGTATCTCCAAATTGGATAAAAATTCCAGACGGCCACTGCTTTGACACGAAACGCATACAGGTCATTCCGTGTCAACCACACAATTTAGTTTCTAATCCTACTTAATTGTAAAGCACACTTAATTGAATTGTAACTCCGTTTTACGTCTGTGTAGAGTACATTTTTAAAAAAGAATTTTATCCGTATGAATATTTAGGACTAAGTACCAAAATATATTTTTATAGAATGTAGTTAACGAGTCTGGCAGTAAAAGAGTTATGGTTTTAGCTGGTTTTACTGATGTTTCGAGTTTAAAATTACTACAATTTAAATATGTATATGGCATTTCAGAAAAATGGGGTGAGATTTTTTTTTGAAAAGATGTCAAAAGGATGACTCAAAGTCTTGTAAGAAATATATGCGAATATATTTGATAACATGTTTGAAAAAAAATTGTTAATTAATTAACAATTAATATATCTACTAAATTTTTGTTGATGACCGATTAATCACTGAACAAAAATTAATATCATAATTTCTTAATATAACTAACCACATGGAATTCTAGCAGGTACAACATAAGAAACTAATCATTCAACTTGTTCGTCATATGGTTCTAAATATCATTTATTAATTTGTGACTTCTGAATGAATTAAAGAACACCTAACAACGACGGTGAAAATCGTAGATTTCTGGAGATCAAATCGTAAAATTTTATCAGCCATATTTCTCAATGAGTTTTATCCTTCTTGCATTTATACATGTCACAAAATGTATTCCGAACTTCTGTTGCTACAGTTTAATTAAAATCGTTTTGGAGAACTTTGTTTTGATTGTGACCCTCTTGAACCGGTAAGTGCTTCTTGACGTATTTTCTATTTACCATCGAAAACAAATAAATTCACCCTTATTTAAAATGCCAAAATGTTAAAATACAGCGGAATGAAAAGTATTTGTTTTTCCATTCAAAGATGTTTGAAAACAGGAGCTTGACATTTTACCGAAGAACAAAAAAAAGGTGAAAAATGCGAACCTAAAAGAACTTTTTGTTAATACTCTTTTATAATAGACTCGTTAAGAACAACAAAACCAACAAAAAAACAAAGAAGAACGAAAATAAAGTAATTTCACGTTATGTTAGTCAATATCAATATTAACAACGAGATTTGAATTAATTACAATATTTATGCTTTTTTATGATGTGCGATCAATAGAAAGCGTCCTCAAGTTGGCCTTGGACAAGACAGCTGTTTTTTATTGCCTGCTGGACACAAAAGGATATGTGAAAAAATTTACTCATCATTATTGAGAACGTTTTATGTTAATTATTTTACGTAGTGTATTTAATTGTTCACTTACTCGAATTATGTGAGAAAATTTATTACCAACTTTTACGTATCACTAAATTCATGGAAGTTCATTCTCTTATTTCTCCAGCCCCTAAAGTACAGTCTAACAAATACAACTTCGAAAAATTATTGTCAACTTTAACTTTGAGAATTGATTTAGTCAGTTTTCCATTTAATTTTTTTTTTTTTTTTTTGATAACGTCATTAACTTTTAACAACGCCACATATATCAATTTAGGATTCAGATCTTTCAATTTAGAAAAGAATTTGAACTTTCACAGTATTTGGAATGTTTTCACACATTCAGTAAACTGTTTAGAATTTCTAGAATTGAGCAAATTTTTGAAATTTCCTGCAGTTCCAAATTTTCTAAATGTTATAAAAATATCAGTGTTCGAATATGCCAGAATTCAACATTTTCCTCAGTTTCCAAGATTTCTAGGTCTTCCAGATTTTTCACTTTCTAGATATTTCTAGATTTTCTAAAATTTATACAACGCAAGAGTCTTAAATCTTTAAAATTTTTGGAATTTCTGTAATCTTTAGAATTTCTGATAATAAGTAGGGTGTTCAAAACCCCTAATACTTGTAGAATTTATAAAAATTAAAGGAAGCATTCTTCAGATTTTTACGATTTTTAGATTTTTTATTTTTGTTTTGTTTAGAGTCTTTGGAATCTTTAAAATTTTTGTGATGTTAAGAGTTCATGCGTTTTTTACAAATTATAAAATCTTTGAAATATTTGGAACAGAATTTGAAATACCTTTTTAACGTTTGAGTATTTAGAGTATTTAGTATCTTTAGAGTCCTTGGAGTCTTAACAATCTTTGGAAATTTTGGATACTTCAGAATTACTAGAAGTTTAGAATTTTTATAATCTCTAGGAACATTAATACTTCCAAGATCTTTTCAATTTTTAGGATTTTGTTGGATGTTTCTTCTATTTAGAACCTAAAACTTTAGTTTATTTAGCATCTTTGGTGTCTTTACAATTCGCAATTTCTAGTGTATGAAAACTTTAAAATTTTTAGAATGTGTCGAGTCTTTAGAATTTTTGAAAAGTTTGAAACCTTTTAAATAGTTCAAACTTGTGGAAACTTTGGGATTTTTAGAATATCTACAATCTTAAGATTGTGTAAACTTTTGAAATTTTGAGATTTAATATTATTTTATTTTCTTTTAATTTTTGGGAATTTTTAATTTTGCAAAATTTTCTAAGTTTTAAAAATGACCAGAATTTCCACATTTTCCAAAATTTCTAAAATTATCAGGCTCCAGTTATACCAGAATTTTGAAATTCAACCTTTTCCAATATTTTCAAGATTTCAAGGTCTACCACATTTTTCCCACATTTTCTATCTTTTTTCAGGTTTTCTAAAATGTATAGACCTCAAGAGTCTAAATCTTTGGAATTTTTGAAATCTCTGGAATTTTTACAGTCTCCAAGATTTATAAGATATTACTTAGGGTGTTCAAGGCTTTCACTGCTTTTAGGATTTATAAAAATTAAAAAAATCATTTTTCCGATGTTTGCGATTTTTAGGTCTTTAAGTTTTTTGTTTTCTTTAAAGTCTTTGGAATTTTTACAAGTTTTGGAATCTTTGGTTTTTGGAATTTCTCTAGAATCTGTAGAATCTTTCAAGTATTCGAAACAGAATTTTAGCTTTTGACCCCTTAGAGTCTTTAGATCCTTTACAGCCTTTCCAGTCTATGGAAATTTTGAACACTTTGGGAATTACTAAGGTTGTTGGATCTTAATGTTCTAATAATTAACTTTAGTTTATTTAGAATCTTAAGTGTGTTTACAATTCGCAACTTCTAATGTATGTAATCCCTGAAAGCTTTTATACTTTTTGAATCTTTCAAACCACTGGAAATTTTGCAATCTTTAGAATTTCTAGAATCTAGAATCACTAGAATTTCTATAAATTTTACAACTTTCAGATTTTCATTATTTTTAGATACTTCAGTATGTCTAGAATTGAAATATTTTTGGATCTTTAGGATTTTTGTCTTCCTTCCAATTTTTAAATATTTGGAATCTGTGGAATCTTTGGAATTTTTGAAATTCCTGAAATCCCTTTAGAATTTCTAAATTGCCGGCTTCTCTTGCTTTTTTAAATTTTTTGAAATTCCTAAAATCCTTGTAGTCCTTAGATCCTTGAAAGCCTTCAAACCTTTGAAAGGGTTAGAAGATTTGGGACTTTCACAACACTTGGAATCTTTTCAAAAATTCGGTCTCTAATTTCTAGAATTAAGATTGTGCATATTTTAAATTTATTCGCAAAATTGTAAAATTACGTCATCGATTTTTATCAGACAAATTTTGGTTAGAGTTTTACCATCTACAGGATATTCCTAATATACACACAAAAATTTACATAAACGCCGGAAACAAGAGATCTGTGTATATTCTAGGGGTCATGAAACGTCGATTTTCGGGAAAACGGAGTGAATCAGGCATTCCCGATTTAATCAATAAAATAAATTGACCCGTTAATTAATTTTTATGAGTCATCTGTATAAGAAATTTTAAAACTTTCAATGCAATGATAAATAACAATTACCTATATAATCATCGTATTTTGCACATTTTGGATAGGATTTATTCGGCAAAATTTTGAGATGACGTCATCAATTTGTTGGAAGGGGCTAAATGAATAAAATTTGCTTAACGATTTACCATGATTACGATAACCTTAAAATATTTACAAGATTTCAGTGCAATCGGTTTTGCGGTTTCAAAGTTATATTGCAAAATATTGTTACTCAGTTTTGAATTTTTCCCAAAAATTCTGGTTGTCTAGGGTGAAAATTCGACACGGATTCACACACCACAAGTGCTGGCGTATCTTGTTTTGTGAAATTTAAAAATTTTATTATAAATTTTGAAGATGACGTCATCCCATTGGTGGTGGTGGTGGTGATGCCAAATTTAGTTTAACCATCCTAATATACATACAAAAAATGACAACAATCGGTCCAGTAGTTTCGGAGATTACTTGTCTAATAAAAATGGATACAGACACCAGACAGACAGACAGACAGACAGACAGACAGACGGACGGACGGAAACAGGAGACTATTTTTTTCGTACTCTACAGGTCATGACACGTCGAGAAAATATGAAAGTGCCAATTCGGCCGACGGACTGGATTGCGATACTTCCTTAGTTTACGCTCGGGAAGTAAAAAATGTATTAAACTCGCATACCTATAATTTCTGGTCAACAAGTCGTAGCGATGTTTCTTGCGTTTTGATTTTAAAAGCAAATATTTAGCACAGAAATATTTAACTAAATTGCTGAATTCGCTACATAAGGCCTGCAGAGGATTTAATGCCATTTTAAAAACTGCAATGGTGAACTTTTGCAGCTTTATTATTTCTTCATTTTTGGATTAAACTACGTTAAACTAAATCAACACCGAATCAAAAATTTCTGGACATTTTTGCTAAAAAGTTAATCGGCACAAAAACACCATAAAAAAGCTGATTGTATTTAAAACACATTAGCAAT